GACGATTTGTTGCTTCGGCTTCGCGTCAAGTGTGCATCGACGAGCCTCTGGTTGGCGGTGCTGTTGCCTCGGCGCTCGGAACCCTGAGCGTGTATGCGTTGTGCCGCACCCATAATGCTGCCCGTAATTCGCTGGGACTGGCTCCCGATGTGACCTTTTCCGCGGCTGCGTCCGCGAAGGGGCCCAGGGTCATGACAAAGCCATGTCTTTGTTCAGCGCGGTGCACACGCGCCGGCGCCAAGATTGACCTCTCCTCCTTCTCCGGGGTGGGGTGGGTCTTGGGGTCTGTCGGGTCTTGGGGTGTTTGGGGATGTTTTTGCGTCGGTTTGTTGGTTTCTTGGTTTTTCTCGGTGTTCTTCTCCCCCTCCTTGCAGTTCGTGCAGTTCTTAGGTTACCTGCTACGGCACCTGGTGCTGTTTTCCCCTCCTCGCGTTCTCGCGGCTGGGGCCCGACTCGGCGGCCGCGCAGGGGAACTGCGGTGCTCGTTTTGAGATCGGATCTGGGTGTATTAGTCTGAATTTGTACTGCTAGCAACAGCCCGTCTTCTGCTCAATTTTCGGCCACGTTCGCAGGACACACGTCCTGTTGATGTCGGTGGTTTCTTTCTTTGGGCAACCACGCGCTTCGCTATGATACAGATTCGGGCCGTTTTTGTATTATTAGATTCTCCCGCTCTTCGCTCGTCCTCCCGCTTTCCTCCTCCTCCCTCCTCCTCCTTCTGCATCTGCGGACCGTAATGTGTGTCATGTTCGTTACGTGTTGCCGCTCGTTGCCGTCTCTTGGGCCGTACCGGCCTATCTTCGTTTTGAGGCTTTTGATGTTGGCGTTGGCCTTGTAGGGTAATCCACAGATTCCGCCGCAACCGCTATTTTTGCCTGGTGTGGTTAGGCTGTGAAGGCAAGCGCTGAAGCGGACAGGAATCGTTTTTTCCCCAGAAAAAATCATCAGCACCACTACCACCATCACCATCGCACGCCTCGCTCACGCACTCACGTGCCCGCACACTCGTCTTGAGTAGCTCTCGAGCGGGAACCTCGTTTGTGAGTGGATCGCGAGGAAGGCTTGAGCAGGAGCCCCTCCTTGTGGGGTCCCCACCTCATGCTGGCAATCCGAGGCGGCCATCTGGACACCCTCCTCCTCCTCCTCCTCCTCCTCCTCCTCCTCCTCCTCCAATTCCTCCTCCTCCTCCTATTCCTCCTCCTCCTCCTTCTCCTCCTTCTCCTTCTCCTCCTCCTCCTATTCCTCCTCGTCCTCCTCCTCCTCCTGCATAAGCGCAGGCGTGGTGACACCTTGGGAGCCTAAAGTCTCGAGCAGGAGCCTCTCGAGCGGGAGCCCCTCCCTGGTGGGGGCCCCAGCTCACGCTGGCAACCTGAGGCGGCCATCGGGCCCCTGTGAAAGCACAGGTTTGGCGACGCCCGGGAGCCCGAATCCCGAGGACGCTTCGAGCGGGAGCCTCGCTCCTGAGCAAACCGGGAGGACGACTCAGGCGCACACCCGTTGTTGAAGGGATCGCAAGGGAGTCTCCAGCGGGATCCCCGCTCGCATGTCCGAAGCCGAGGCAGCCATCGGGATACCTTATACCAGTTCAGGTTTGGTGGCACGCGGGAGCCTGAATCCAGAGGAATTCTGGAGCGGGAGCCTCGTTCCCAGACCGAGGAGGCATGCGAGTGTTTTCGAGGGCCCCTAGAAGGCTCCGAAACATTCTCGTATGCTTCAGAGGGCTCTAGCATACAATTTCGGGTTCTAGAAGGATCTGATTTGTTGTCGTCTGCTCTCGAAATCTTTCGAGGGCTCGAGAACTGAGGCAAGTTTCAACCATCCTGTGGTTCTGGGTCCTCGTTTTGAAGAGACAGCGCCCCGCGTCTCCTCTCCTCTCCTTCCTCCTCTCCTCCTTCCATCCCTGCTTCTGCCCCCCGCACCTGTCAACAATTTCGGCACACCCCTCACACGATTCGTGGCCCCATAGGGAGCTCCACCGAGGGCCCCAGTGGCTGCGCTCGCATGCGCCCACCGCGCCAATGTCGGCACTTCCCTCACATTTTTCGTGGCCCCATAGCGAGCTCCACCGAGGGCCCCAGTGGCTGCGCTCGCATGCGCCCACCGCGCCAATGTCGGCACTTCCCTCACATTTTTCGTGGCCCCATAGCGAGCTCCACCGAGGGCCCCAGTGGCTGCGCTCGCATGCGCCCACCGCGCCCATTCCGGCACACCCCTCACACGTTGCGTGGCCTCATCGAGAGCTCCATTGAGGACCCCAGTGGCCGCGCTCGCATGCGCCCACCGCGTCCATTTCGGCACACCCTTCACACGTTGCGTGGCCCCATAGGGAGCTCCACTGAGGACCTCAGTGGCCGCGCTCGCATGCGCCCACCGCGTCCATTTCGGCACATCCCTCATATGCGTTGGGGCCCCATCGGGGGCTCAACCGAGGACCCCAATAGCTGCGCTTGCATTCACCCACCGCGCTCATTCCGGCACTTCCCTCACACGTTGCATGGCCCCATAGGGAGCTCATCCGAGGGCCCTAGTGGTTGCTCTCACATGCGCCCACCGCGTTCATGTCGGCACACCCCCCACACGTTTCGTGGACCCGTAGGGAGCTCAACGGTCCCAGTGGTTTCGCTCGCGTGCGCCCACCGCTCCCAATCGGGCACACACCCCACATGTTGCGTGGCCTCATAGGGAGTTCCACCTAGGACCCCAGTGGTTGCTCTCGCATGCGCCCACCGCGCCCATGTCGGCCCACCCCCCACACGCTCCGTAGCCCCATAGGGAGCTCCACCGAGGGCCCCAGTGGCTGCGCTCGCATGCGCCCACCGCACCCATGTCGGCACACCCCTCACACGTTGCGTGGCCCCATAGCGAGCTCCACCGAGGGCCCCAGTGGCTGCGCTCGCATGCGCCCACCGCGCCCATTCCGGCACACCCCTCACACGTTTCGTGGCTCCATACGGAGCTCCACCGAGGGCCCCACTGGTTGCGCTCGCATAAGCGCACCGCGCTCATTTCGGCACTTCCCTCACATTTTTCGTGGACCCGTAGGGACCGCCACCGAGGGCCCCACTGGTTGCGCTCGCATGTGCCCATTGTTCCATGTTGGCGCACCACTCGCACGCTTCGTGGCCTCATAGCGAGCTCCACCGAGGACCCCAGTGGCTGTGTTCGCAAGCGCCCACCGCGCCCATGCAGACACACCCCTCAAACGCGTCGTGGCCCATCATAGGGAGCTCCGCCGAGGACCCCAGTGGCGGTGTTCGCACGCGTTCGCCGCCCCCATTCCGGCACATCCCTCACACGTTTCGTGGCCACATCGGGAGTTCCATTTACGACGGCAAAAGCGTAATTGCATATGGTTGGGTCCTTCGGCAGGCTCATTGTTTTCGGGGGTACCAGGAGGCTCCAGCTGGTCTTTGAGTGATCTTGAAAACTTGGGGGCTCTAGAGGGCTCCTGGGCAAGGAGTGGTTTAGAGTGCGCTGGAGGGCTCCACATGTCTCTGGACTGTCCGATGATGGTTCTAGAATGTCCTGGCAGGCTCCAGAGTGTCTACGAATGCTTTACAGGATCCTAGGGTGCTTGATTGGGTGCTCTGGTAGTTCTTAGGTATATGTGAAGGGCTTTCGAGAGCTCGAGCACGATCTGGATGGCTCGAGTGTTCTCGAGAGCTCTGCATGGCACCGCGATGCTTTCGAATGTGCGAGGGAATCCAGACAGCCCTACAGGGCGTCTAAAATGATCCCAAAGGCCCCAGGGAATTTAGAATTAACTCAAGGGGTAGACGGCTCTAGAGGGGCACCTGGGTGGTCTCGGGGATTTCAGATAACACAAGAAGGCTTTGAAAGGTCCGAGTCTGCTTCAGAGGCCTCTAGGATCCTCGTAGAGCGCTCGCTCTAGGGGGGATTTGGCTGTCGTTCGAGTGTTCGCGGGGGCTCTACAGGGCTGAGAAAACGCTTCACACGGCGCCACGTTGCTCGACTGGATCCTAGAGCGCCCTACAAGGCTTGAGGGGGCCCAGCAGGGTTCAGGAGGGTTCCTGCGGAACAGCCGCATTTGTTTGAGTGCGCGCGAGGGCTCTGGAAAGCTGTGGGGTGCTTGGAGAAGATTCTAGGATGCTCAGGAGGGCTCCAGAGTGTCATAGGCTGCTTTCCAACGTTGTAGAGTGCTCGGCGCTAGAGGGCTCCAGGATGTGTAGCGATGCTGCGCGGGTATTCTCTAGAGGTCCAGAATAATGTAGAAGGCTAGAGCGATCTGCTTCTGATTTCTGCAGAGGGCACCAGAATGCAGTCGAAAGCCTTTTCTAGGGCTCTGAACAGCTTGAGAAATTGTCTAAAGAATGACCCAGATGGCTCTGGCGATTCCTGGAATGTTTTAGACGGCTCTCGACGGATCTAAGAGGGCACTTGGGTGCTCCCGAAGGCCCTAGGTGACTTTAGTAGAAGGTTTCAAGAGTTCTAGTTTGCTTCCGATGGCTTAAGAATCCTGTTAAGCGGTTCTCGATGGATTTCGCAGGCTCTCGAACGCTCTGGCGTTTCTTAGAAGGTTGGGAAGCTGCCCTACGAGGCGCCAGAGGGATCTGCTGGACTCTAGAACGCTTTTGCAGGGAGTGTAGAATGCGCTGGATGTCTCTGGTATGCCCTGGGGTGGAGGGCACCCGGATGCGTTAAAATGTGCTACGGTGTGTGGTTCGGCATATTGCCCTGTCTGGTTATAGAAGTGCGTGGTAGGAGGAGGACGAGATTTGAAACACGCAGAGAGGCGATTTGGTCCTTCATCCCAGTTGCGATCGTTTTCTTATTCATCGACTTGCCGATTCGCGAGGGCCCTCGTACACCCCCCCTTCCCCCCCCGTGGAGTAGATCAGCTGTTTTTGGCGCCTGTTTCGAGCAGGTGGAGTCTCCCCCCTCATAGGACGCCCTGCTGCAGACAGCCGCACGAAGCAGAGGTCCGGAGCCAGACCTCCCCCTCCCCCCCCCTTTCGCCCAATGTCGAAACGCCGAATAAGGAAACGCTCACCAGTTCTTTCACTCTAAGGACATCCTCGCCTCCGAGGAGTCCAAGTCGCTCCAATACAACAGCGCATTCGAGACGCCCCGGACCTCCGTGGGGCCTTTCAGCTCTTGCGCGGACGTCGTCCCGATGTGCGGCGAGGAGTCCACGTTTGGCGTCCGCGCCAGGCCCGTTTCGGTCCGGCTGCTCTGGGGGGCAGTGCGACAAACTCAAGAAAAACGTGTTCAGTAGTTGTTCTTGAGGCTCGGCTTCCAGAGTGGCTTTCTGGCCCCATGGCCATCAAACACGGGTCTGGGGCG